CAAATTTACAATTGAGTATGCAAATTTATAAGCCGTGTAAGAACTAATATAAGTACAAATTCTGCCGTTAATACATGCATTATTAGCTGAGCTGTGAATACAAATTCTAAAGTGGATTCAGGCATTATTAGCTGAGTTGTGAACTTTTTGTCTTTAAATTTACAATTGAGTATGCAAATGTATAAGCCGTGTAAAAACTAATATAAGTACAAATTCTGCCGTGGATACATGCATTATTAGCTGAGTTGTTAACTTTTTGCTTACAAATTTACAATTGAGTATGCAAATGTATTAGCCTTGTAAAAACTAATATAAATACAAATTCTGAAGTGGATTCAGGCATTATTAGCTGAGTTGTGAACTTTTTGTTTACAAATTTACAATTGAGTATGCAAATGTATTAGCCTTCTAAAAACTAATATAAGTACAAATTCTGCCGTGGATACATGCATTATTAGCTGAGTTGTGAACTTTTTGTTTACAAATTTACAATTGAGTATGCAAATGTATTAGCCATGTAAAAACTAATATAAATACAAATTCTGAAGTGGATACAGGCATTATTAGCTGAGTTGTGAACTTTTTGTTTACAAATTTACAATTGAGTATGCAAATGTATTAGCCTTGTAAAAACTAATATAAATACAAATTCTGAAGTGGATTCAGGCATTATTAGCTGAGTTGTGAAATTTTTGTTTACAAATTTATACCTGAGTATGCAAATGTATTAGCCTTGTAAAAACTAATATAAATACAAATTCTGAAGTGGATTCAGGCATTATTAGCTGAGTTGTGAAATTTTTGTTTACAAATTTATACCTGAGTATGCAAATGTATTAGCCTTGTAAAAACTAATATAAATGCAAATTCTGAAGTGGATTCAGGCATTATTAGCTGAGTTGTGAACTTTTTGTTTACAAATTTACAATTGAGTATGCAAATGTATTAGCCTTCTAAAAACTAATACAAGTACAAATTCTGCCGTGGATACATGCATTATTAGCGGAGTTGTGAACTTTTTGTTTACAAATTTACAATTGAGTATGCAAATGTATTAGCCATGTAAAAACTAATATAAATACAAATTCTGAAGTGGATACAGGCATTATTAGCTGAGTTGTGAAATTTTTGTTTACAAAATTATACCTGAGTATGCAAATGTATTAGCCTTGTAAAAACTAATATAAATACAAATTCTGAAGTGGATTCAGGCATTATTAGCTGAGTTGTGAACTTTTTGTTTACAAATTTACAATTGAGTATGCAAATGTATAAGCCTTGTAAAAACTAATATAAATACAAATTCTGCCGTGGATACATGCATTATTAGCGGAGTTGTGAATTTTTTGTTTACAAATTTACAATTGAGTATGCAAATGTATTAGCCATGTAAAAACTAATATAAATACAAATTCTGAAGTGGATACAGGCATTATTAGCTGAGTTGTGAACTTTTTGTTTACAAATTTACAATTGAGTATGCAAATGTATAAGCCTTGTAAAAACTAATATAAATACAAATTCTAAAGTGGATACATGCATGATTAGCTGAGATGTGAACTTTTGTTTCAAATTACATTATTAGCTGAGATGTGAACTTTTTGTTTACAAATTTACAATTGAGTATGCAAATGTATTAGCCATGTAAAAACTAATATAAATACAAATTCTGAAGTGGATATATGCATTATTATCTGAGTTGTGAACTTTTTGTTTACAAATTTACAATTGAGTATGCAAATTTATAAGCCGTGTAAGAACTAATATAAGTACAAATTCTGCCGTTAATACATGCATTATTAGCTGAGCTGTGAATACAAATTCTAAAGTGGATTCAGGCATTATTAGCTGAGTTGTGAACTTTTTGTTTACAAATTTACAATTGAGTATGCAAATGTATAAGCCAGTGTAAAAACTAATATAAGTACAAATTCTGCCGTGGATACATGCATTATTAGCTGAGTTGTTAACTTTTTGCTTACAAATTTACAATTGAGTATGCAAATGTATTAGCCTTGTAAAAACTAATATAAATACAAATTCTGAAGTGGATTCAGGCATTATTAGCTGAGTTGTGAAATTTTTGTTTACAAATTTATACCTGAGTATGCAAATGTATTAGCCTTGTAAAAACTAATATAAATGCAAATTCTGAAGTGGATTCAGGCATTATTAGCTGAGTTGTGAACTTTTTGTTTACAAATTTACAATTGAGTATGCAAATGTATTAGCCTTCTAAAAACTAATACAAGTACAAATTCTGCCGTGGATACATGCATTATTAGCGGAGTTGTGAACTTTTTGTTTACAAATTTACAATTGAGTATGCAAATGTATTAGCCATGTAAAAACTAATATAAATACAAATTCTGAAGTGGATACAGGCATTATTAGCTGAGTTGTGAAATTTTTGTTTACAAATTTATACCTGAGTATGCAAATGTATTAGCCTTGTAAAAACTAATATAAATACAAATTCTGAAGTGGATTCAGGCATTATTAGCTGAGTTGTGAACTTTTTGTTTACAAATTTACAATTGAGTATGCAAATGTATAAGCCTTGTAAAAACTAATATAAATACAAATTCTGCCGTGGATACATGCATTATTAGCTGAGTTGTGAACTTTTTGTTTACAAATTTACAATTGAGTATGCAAATGTATTAGCCATGTAAAAACTAATATAAATACAAATTCTGAAGTGGATACAGGCATTATTAGCTGAGTTGTGAACTTTTTGTTTACAAATTTACAATTGAGTATGCAAATGTATAAGCCTTGTAAAAACTAATATAAATACAAATTCTAAAGTGGATACATGCATGATTAGCTGAGATGTGAACTTTTTGTTTCAAATTACATTATTAGCTGAGATGTGAACTTTTTGTTTACAAATTTACAATTGAGTATGCAAATGTATTAGCCATGTAAAAACTAATATAAATACAAATTCTGAAGTGGATATATGCATTATTATCTGAGTTGTGAACTTTTTGTTTACAAATTTACAATTGAGTATGCAAATTTATAAGCCGTGTAAGAACTAATATAAGTACAAATTCTGCCGTTAATACATGCATTATTAGCTGAGCTGTGAATACAAATTCTAAAGTGGATTCAGGCATTATTAGCTGAGTTGTGAACTTTTTGTCTTTAAATTTACAATTGAGTATGCAAATGTATAAGCCGTGTAAAAACTAATATAAGTACAAATTCTGCCGTGGATACATGCATTATTAGCTGAGTTGTTAACTTTTTGCTTACAAATTTACAATTGAGTATGCAAATGTATTAGCCTTGTAAAAACTAATATAAATACAAATTCTGAAGTGGATTCAGGCATTATTAGCTGAGTTGTGAACTTTTTGTTTACAAATTTACAATTGAGTATGCAAATGTATTAGCCTTCTAAAAACTAATATAAGTACAAATTCTGCCGTGGATACATGCATTATTAGCTGAGTTGTGAACTTTTTGTTTACAAATTTACAATTGAGTATGCAAATGTATTAGCCATGTAAAAACTAATATAAATACAAATTCTGAAGTGGATACAGGCATTATTAGCTGAGTTGTGAACTTTTTGTTTACAAATTTACAATTGAGTATGCAAATGTATTAGCCTTGTAAAAACTAATATAAATACAAATTCTGAAGTGGATACAGGCATTATTAGCTGAGTTGTGAACTTTTTGTTTACAAATTTACAATTGAGTATGCAAATGTATTAGCCTTGTAAAAACTAATATAAATACAAATTCTAAAGTGGATACATGCATGATTAGCTGAGATGTGAACTTTTTGTTTCAAATTTCATTATTAGCTGAGATGTGAACTTTTTGTTTACAAATTTACAATTGAGTATGCAAATGTATTAGCCATGTAAAAACTAATATAAATACAAATTCTGAAGTGGATACATGCATTATTAGCTGAGTTGTGAACTTTTTGTTTACAAATTTCATTATTAGCTGAGATGTGAACTTTTTGTTTACAAATTTACAATTGAGTATGCAAATGTATTAGCCATGTAAAAACTAATATAAATACAAATTCTGAAGTGGATACATGCATTATTAGCTGAGTTGTGAACTTTTTGTTTACAAATTTCATTATTAGCTGAGATGTGAACTTTTGTTTACAAATTTACAATTGAGTATGCAAATGTATTAGCCTTGTAAAAACTAATATAAATACAAATTCTGAAGTGGATACAGGCATTATTAGCTGAGTTGTGAACTTTTTGTTTACAAATTTACAATTGAGTATGCAAATGTATTAGCCTTGTAAAAACTAATATAAATACAAATTCTAAAGTGGATACATGCATGATTAGCTGAGATGTGAACTTTTTGTTTCAAATTTCATTATTAGCTGAGATGTGAACTTTTTGTTTACAAATTTACAATTGAGTATGCAAATGTCTTAGCCATGTAAAAACTAATATAAATACAAATTCTGAAGTGGATACATGCATTATTAGCTGAGTTGTGAACTTTTTGTTTACAAATTTCATTATTAGCTGAGATGTGAACTTTTTGTTTACAAATTTACAATTGAGTATGCAAATGTATTAGCCTTGTGTCACGAGTGTCACGATCCGGTTCCGATGGAGAACCATTAGACAGCAACGGTCTGGCATCTCGGAGTTAGTTGGCGAAGAGTTGGAGAACGAGAACGACAAGCAACGCCAGCTCCGCGAGAACGACATTTTCGCAAACGTATTAATCAAATAACGCACATATATCTGTATCCATTAATATTCTATAATCGAGTTGTTCATCATTAAAGTACAATTAAGATCACGAGTTATTGTCTTTATTCACCGTAAGCCGTGCTATCTATTCGCCTTATTCCTGACAAATCAACAGCGACTCACATTCCCCTACACAACGACAAAGTATTGGAGTGTGTGTGACATTTTCAGAAGTGGGATAGTGCGCAATAAGTGAAAACGAACCAAGATAAATGGACATAACGTAAAACGAAAGTTATTCACAATGCCGGGGAAGAACTATTTAACTAAGAAAGCCCTACAACATAGGTGCAGAGAAGCGGGACTCTCGACATCGGGAACTCGTGAGGACATGCTAAGGAGATTGAACTCTCAAAACAGCGACGATGTGTACATAAGTGCAGAAAACCAGTCGCTTCAAAAGAAGATTGTCGAGCTGGAGAAAACGGTACGAGAGCTTCAGGAGCGTTCTTTTCACCCTTCAGTAATTTCATCACCAATCGAAAAAGCTGCAACAGTAAACGAAGATCAGCCAGCCAACGGTAGCGAGACAACGAGTGATAAACTTGACGAAAAACGGCAACAACAACCAATCGACCTACGATCCAACGAGATGCATGTGCAGAAGGTAACGAATTTGCCAAATATAGATGTGGCAACGTCTCAGCCACAGCTAAACGAAATCTACCCACCTCAACGACACAACATGCACTTTGCTACGTCACAGCAAAGCGATGTATACCCAACTCAACCACGCAACATGCAATTTGCTACGTCACAGCAAAACGATGTATACCCAACTCAACCACACAACATGCACTTTGCTACGTCACAGCGAAATGTTATCTACCCGACTCAGACTCACAACGTGCACTTTTCTACGTCACAGAAATTCACAGACTGTGCTACCTCACAGCCAAACGTAAACAATCCTGTCACTTACTCAAACTTTGGAAATTTTGTAACTTCGGGAAACGACTTTAATCAAGGCAGTACATTTCCACGACATCAACCAATGTATAACGAGTATCCATATGCTCGTGCTAGCCACTTGGATAACAGGATCCCTGCTGGGAACGAACATTTCAATCACGCCTATGGAAACTTTAAAATGTCAAAAACGAATAGAGATTCCACCGAGTTACCATCAGATTATTTCTACAAGATGCTCGCTTTGGGTAAAAAGGGTGAGTTACCAGATTCAGCAATTTGCACACACATTATCAACGGAATAAACGACTACGATTTAAAGAGAAAAATATCCAACAGTTATGTTTCCTGTAACGAACTACTACGCGACATTCTTGCATACTCCGCGCATAATATTATAAAGCATAACGCCATTCAAATGTCAAACAAACGGGATCTTAACGTCAGCCTTCAGAAGCCGAATTCTTCATTAAATACAAAACGTCCTTTCAACGATAAAGTCGAGGTATCGGTTAAATGCTACAATTGTCAGAAGGTTGGACATTATTCTTCGAAATGTCCTGAGCCTCAGCGAAAGCCTCGTTGCACGCACTGCAACCGCACAACACACGATTCTGCCAGCTGCCCCGATAACCAAAAGACAGGTCCAAAAATTAATAAAATTGACTCTGATCCTGATTCAGAAATCTCCAAATCGATTTCGGTGAACGGTAATGAAACCATCGCATTCGTAGATCCAGGCAGTACGCGAACCCTAATTCGAAAGTCATTCGCCGAAAGCGTAGGTGTTCTACAACGATGTGCTGTTACCCTGAACGGATTTGGTGGTGGGAAATTCCTTTGTACACAGAAACTATTCGCGAAAATTGTAATTGACGATTCGGATTACGAAGTTGAAGTTTTGGTTGTAGAAGACAAACTAATAACCGAAAATGTACTTTTGGGTAAGGATATCCTTTGTCGCGATGGAAACAAATTGATCATCCTCGGTAATGAGTGTTATGTAGAGAATATTCGAAAAATTCAAACAAGCCAAGAGCGTTCGTCAGTTGAGAACGAGCTCATAAACAAATTGGTATCGGAAAATGCGTCTTGCTTTGCGGAGAAAGCTAACGAGCTCGGTAAATGCTCTCTAACTAAAATGGAAATAACTTTAACATCAAACGTTCCCTGCTTCACTAAGCCTTACCGTACTCCTTTTGCACTCAGACCTGTCGTCGGTAATATTATCTCCGAGTTACTCGATAGTGATATCATTCGTCCGTCAGACTCCCCTTATGCATCTGGAATTGTCGTCGTTGAAAAACAGAATGGTGAACATCGTCTTTGCGTCGACTACCGACGTCTCAACAGTATAACCGTCAAAATACCATTTCCAATGCCAAATCTGGAGGAGCAATTTGCCCAATTAGCCGGGAATACCTATTTTTCTCAGCTGGACTTGCGTATGGGATATCATCAAATCGAGGTTTGCGAATCATCCAAACAATTCACCGCATTTGTAACTTCAGACGGCCACTACGAATATAACAGGATGCCGTTCGGTCTTGTCAATGCTCCAGCAGTATTTCAAGCGGTCATGAACAAAATAGTCAAACGTATGGAGCCAGGTGAGGTACTCGCATATTTAGATGACGTCATCATTCCCAGCAAATCATTTGATGAGGGTATCCAACGACTCGGAAAATTCTTCCGAATCCTTAAAGAGAGCGGTTTAACACTTCGCTACGACAAATGTAAATTTCTTCAATCCGAAATAACTTTCTTGGGCCATATTGTCAACAAAGATGGAATCACTCCAGGCGAAAACAAGGTGAGCGCTATTAAAAACTTCAAAGTCCCCACCAACGTAAAAGACGTCAGACGATTTTTGGGCCTAACGGGATTCTTTCGAAAATTTGTTGAAAACTACTCCCTAATTACAAGACCCCTTACACGACTGTTGCGTAAGGTAGAGCAAAACAGCTTCGATTGGGGAAATGACCAGCAACGGGCTTTTAACGAGCTAATCGATAAATTATGCTGTGTTCCAGTTTTGGTTCTGTACGACTTTGCTGCACATCATGAGGTACACACAGATGCTTGTGCGATCGGACTAGCAGGAGTCTTACTGCAATCTCAAGACAAAACGAATTGGCGACCCGTGTGTTACTTCAGTAGGCACTGTACTGACGCTGAAAGTCGATACCATAGCTACGAACTCGAAACGTTGGCCGTCGTAGAAACGCTACAAAGGTTCAGGGTGTATATTCTAGGAAAACCCTTCCGACTCGTCACAGATTGTTCCGCCATCGCCAAGGTAAAGCTTAATAAAGAATTGAGTCGCACGTTGGTGGATTAAAATACTGGACTACGACTGCGAATTCATTCATCGTGATGGTAGTAAAATGGCCCATGTGGATGCCATGAGCCGCGCTCCCGTTTCACCTCCCGAAAAATCCTTACAGGAAGTAGTGCGCACCATAATTACGGACGTCGATGACTGGTTGCTAACTATGCAGCTTCAGGATGAGGCCCTTGTCCAAATATTTGCTGTATTGAAGGAGCATCGTACCGGAAATCAACTAAAACAACTTCAAGCTGATTACGTCATCAAAAATCACCGTCTATATCGCAAGGTCGAAAAAGGAATAGCCTTCGTTGTACCAAAGTCCGTGAGATGGCGCATTGTTAAGATGTGTCATGATGATTTTGGGCATTTCGGTCTGGACAAAACAATTGGACGAATTCAAAAAAAAGTTTTGGTTCCCAAGAATGCGGAAGTACGTAAAAGAATACATTTCAACATGCATTCAATGCTGCTACTACAAATCTAAAGGAGGCAAGCCCGAAGGTTGCATGCATTATAGTGACGCCGATCCAGTACCATTTCGCAGGCTACACATCGATCATTTGGGACCGTTTATTCGAAGCAAACGCGGAAATACCCATATACTAGCCATATCCGATCCCTTCAGTAAATATCTGATTGTAAAGGCAGTTAAAAATACAAAAACTCTTCCAGTGCTGAACATTCTAAATGAAGTCTCCAGCTACTTCGGTCTGCCGAAAATAATAATATCCGATCGTGGAACTGCTTTTACCTCGAAACAATTTGAAGAATACTGTATGCACAACCAGATTCAACACATTAAAAATGCTGTGCGGACACCTCGTGCAAATGGACAAGTAGAGCGCGCCAATCAAACCATTCTTAACTACGTACGCACAGTGAACGACCACCCGAAGGATTGGGATCTTACCTTACACAATCTTCAATGGAGTGTAAACTCTCAAAAGAACGAAACCTCAGGATTCAGCCCGATTGATTTGGTGTTTAACTTTAATCCTATTGATGTAGTCCAGAACCATCTCACTGCAGCTATACACACCGATTTGGAATTAGACGAGAAAGAATCTGTCATCGACAACAGAAACCAAGCGCTCGTCAATATTGCAAGCGAGCGAGCTAAATGGAAACAACGCTTTGATACCAAACACGCTAACCCTTCCATCTACTCCACAGGTAACCTTGTAGTCGTTGAAAATGAACCAGCTGCTACAGGCGAGTCGCGAAAGCTCGAACCACGCTATCGAGGACCATATATCGTCGTCAAGGTCCTTGGAAACGATCGTTATGTAATCGAAGACATCCTAGGTATTCAGATTACAGGACGTAAATACAGTTCTGTCTATTCCTCGGATAAAATCAAGCCGTGGTGCTCCAAAGTCCCTGAGTTGGATGTTCCCGACGATGACGAGGATCGAATCGAGGACGATCCGAATGCAGGATTGGCCGAGCTGTCACGAGTGTCACGATCCGGTTCCGATGGAGAACCATTAGACAGCAACGGTCTGGCATCTCGGAGTTAGTTGGCGAAGAGTTGGAGAACGAGAACGACAAGCAACGCCAGCTCCGCGAGAACGACATTTTCGCAAACGTATTAATCAAATAACGCACATATATCTGTATCCATTAATATTCTATAATCGAGTTGTTCATCATTAAAGTACAATTAAGATCACGAGTTATTGTCTTTATTCACCGTAAGCCGTGCTATCTATTCGCCTTATTCCTGACAAATCAACAGCGACTCACACATTCCCCTACACAACGACAAAGTATTGGAGTGTGTGTGCCACTTGTAAAAACTAATATAAGTACAAATTCTGCCGTGGATACATGCATTATTAGCTGAGTTGTGAACTTTTTGTTTACAAATTTCATTATTAGCTGAGATGTGAACTTTTTGTTTACAAATTTACAATTGAGTATGCAAATGTATTAGCCGTGTAAAAACTATTATAAATACAAATTCTGAAGTGGATACAGACATTATTAGCTGAGCTGTGATCTTTTTGTTTTCAAATTTACAATTGAGTATGCAAATGTATTAGCCGTGTAAAAACTATTATAAATACAAATTCTGAAGTGGATATATGCATTATTATCTGAGTTGTGAACTTTTTGTTTACAAATTTACAATTGAGTATGCAAATGTATTAGCCTTCTAAAAACTAATATAAGTACAAATTCTGCCGTGGATACATGCATTATTAGCGGAGTTGTGAACTTTTTGTTTACAAATTTACAATTGAGTATGCAAATGTATTAGCCATGTAAAAACTAATATAAATACAAATTCTGAAGTGGATACAGGCATTATTAGCTGAGTTGTGAACTTTTTGTTTACAAATTTACAATTGAGTATGCAAATGTATTAGACGTGTAAAAACTAAAATAAGTACAAATTCTGGTTGGATACATGCATTATTAGTGGAGTTGTGATCTTTTTGTTTACAAATTTACAATTGAGTATGCAAATAAATTAGCCTTCTAAAAACTAATATAAGTACAAATTCTGCCGTGGATACATGCATTATTAGCGGAGTTGTGAACTTTTTGTTTACAAATTTACAATTGAGTATGCAAATGTATTAGCCTTCTAAAAACTAATATAAGTACAAATTCTGCCGTGGATACATGCATTATTAGCGGAGTTGTGAACTTTTTGTTTACAAATTTACAATTGAGTATGCAAATGTATTAGCCTTCTAAAAACTAATATAAGTACAAATTATGCCGTGGATACATGCATTATTTTCGCAGTTGTGAACTTTTTGTTTACAAATTTACAATTGAGTATGCAAATGTATTAGCATTGTAAGAACTAATTTAAATATAAATTCTGCCGTGGATACATGCATTATTAGCTGAGTTGTGAACTTTTTGTTTACAAATTTACAATTGAGTATGCAAATAAATTAGCCTTCTAAAAACTAATATAAGTACAAATTCTGCCGTGGATACATGTATTATTAGCGGAGTTGTGAACTTTTTGTTTACAAATTTACAATTGAGTATGCAAATAAATTAGCCTTCTAAAAACTAATATAAGTACAAATTCTGCCGTGGATACATGCATTATTAGCGGAGTTGTGAACTTTTTGTTTACAAATTTACAATTGAGTATGCAAATGTATTAGCCTTCTAAAAACTAATATAAGTACAAATTCTGCCGTGGATACATGCATTATTTTCGGAGTTGTGAACTTTTTGTTTACAAATTTACAATTGAGTATGCAAATGTATTAGCATTGTAAGAACTAATTTAAATATAAATTCTGCCGTGGATACATGCATTATTAGCTGAGATGTGAACTTTTTGTTTATAAATTTACAATTGAGTATGCAAATGTATTAGCCGTGTAAAAATTAATATAAATACAAAATCTGAAGTGGATTCATGCATTATTAGCTGAGATGTGAACTTTTTGTTTATAAAATTACAATTGAGTATGCAAATGTATTAGCCGTGTAAAAACTTATATAAATACTGTGGCCGTATGTTATTTTAATTAGTCTCTTTTATTTATTCTTATATTATAGTATTATCAGGCCTGTTCTAGTTTCCACTTCCGCAAAATTTATTCGGATTCGGATTTCCCTGACCTGTTCTAGTGTTCACTTCCGAACAATTTTTACGGATTCGTATTTCCCTCTATTAAGTCTCTGTTAATTTGCAGACGAAACGCACGGAAACTTTCCGTGTGCTATTTGGCCGGCGGATTCAAATCCGCAACATCAGAAATTAATTATTTTAAAATACAATGCGATTATGAAAATTACAAATGATAATTGTATTTTATTCCTTGAAGTTTTGGGAACATTATTGCATAATTGAATTAATTAATACTAACATACTTGATTTATAAATAATTATTTTGTGGGTGCACCTTAAAATCGGTTCGATTCTAACCTTCAACATTATTCCAAATCCGCCGCCGCTGTTTCGTATTTGAGAGGGACTATTTAAGGGTTGTCAGCGTACAAAAAAATAAGCGGTGGAATATGTTTCATGTTAATTTTAAACAATCGTTGTACTAATTGGTCTTTTATTATATGAACTATTATTAACCTATGCTAAAAAAATAGTTTTGTTCAAAATATCTCCAATATTATTGCACAAACTGTGCGTGATGTAAAGGATATTTTTTTCCTTGACCTCAGCAACTCTTTTATTAGCTGCATTTTACAGCACTATTTGTAAAAAATTTCACAACACTGCCTAAGAACACCTGACTAACACCCGCAATTTAATTTACAAATAACGCCCAAAAGTTTATTAAATTGACAATTTCTATTAGGAGGAAGCATAAAAATCAAGCGCAGGTTGAGATTTTCATCTTATTTATGGAAAAAATGATATTGCCAGAGGCAACATAAAGGCTGAATTGGGACGGGCAAAACAGCTGACATCCGCATAAGTTTTTCAATACTTCTTATCGAACTTTTCCAGTACTACGCCGAAAACAGATGACTGAAATTTGAAATATTTCAAATTAACATTTTACGGCCAAGAATGCTTGTACCTTTAATTTTATGTGATGAACTAGTAACCCATAAACGTACTTAGGTTGGACGCCAGTGCGGGCCAAAATCTTATTAGCCCCGTATTGACAAAACTCAGGCAAAATAAACGCGTTTGTCTATACCGGCCAGCTGATATTCCTTGGGAACAAAAGGCACAAAGGGGAAATTTTACAAAAGGTCCCTAAATCATCAAGGGAAATTCGCTTATGTTAACGGGAAATCCCCAAATGTTATCAAATTCACTTCCGAGTGGAAACTAGAACAGGCCTGTATATGTTGCTTATATTATTTTACACTTTTGTTTCTTATCTTTTTGTTCACCAACTACGTCTTCTCTTTTTAACTTCTCCAAAAACAGTGATCTGCCACTCTCCGGCCGCGTGCCTTTCAACCCCCAAAATTCATAAGCAGCGCTCTCTGAGAGAGAGAGAGTAACCTGCTCTCTCAGAGAGCGTAGCCCAACAATCGTGTGACCAGATCATAATAAT